GAGTGTGGGAGTCACCACTCAGCGGAACTTTGCTAGAGTGGCGCCTACCCACTAAAACCCCACCCCTTTTAACTAGTCTTTGCCCGGTCATTAAGTGGGAGAGGCCTGGGACTCGCCAACGGCATGTCATCCAGACCTCTCCCTGACCAACCTCTCTCGAGGGGTACTCTTCTCCCCCTTTTTATTAAATGGAGGGAGAAGCGTTGTTTTGCCTCTTTCCATCGCCTTGTCGTCACTCGGCTGGGGGCTGAGGGGAGCGGGACAGGTGCCCCAAAACAGGATCCAATCTTCCCACCCCCCTCTCCCCCTGACCATCACCACGTGACGACGGTCTGGGACAGGCCGCCGTCCAGTGGGAGGCCTAACTTCTTTGGGTGAGAGAGAGACATTGTCCCTTTCCCCACCCAAGGGTCCACCCGGCCTGGCCCTAACGGGGACAGACCTTTGGGGCCTCCTGCTTCGCTGCAGTAAAAAACTGCAGTAGCCCCTCTCTCCGGTGACCATGAGGTCCACCCCTTAAGGGGGCAGAGGTCTCACCGCCAACGGTAAAGAGGGGCTGTCTCCCTCCATTGAAGGAGGGCTTGAGACCTTTATGGCCTCCGTGTTTTTCTCCTTAGAGGGAGAAAGCCACTCCGGACTAGGGAATCGGGCACAGAGCAGCCGACAAAACCTGGTCCTTATTTTCCGCAAGGCCCGATGGTCAAATAGCCACCATTCATGGAGTCTGACCCGGGCCTCACGGAATTTCCACTTCTGAGCAAGGAGGTTCTTGAGATCCCTCTCGAGCCCCCCCGCCCTTTTAAGGGCCTCTGAGGTGTCTTCTGCCAAGCATCGGAAAACAAACTCCAGGTTCGTCGTTTCGGCCTCACTGACACCCCAGAGGTCCGGCCTGTGTGTCCATGTGAGGCAAACCTTATTAAGGATGCTCACACTGGCATCCACCACCCACTCAGAGCCGTCGACGAGGCAGACTACCTCCACGACATGCTCCTCTAAGGTCTGGGAGGTCCCAGGATCCCGCAAGCCGTCGATTAACGGCGACAGGGGCCCGGTACTCCCCCCTTTCTTCTTCTTCTGCAGGGGTGGGGGTAGCAAACCCCCGTTCTTCACCCTGGATAGAGGATTCAGGGGAACATCCCCCTTCTCCTCCATCTCCTTCCATATGTGGGAGTGTTCCCCATCGTCTAAATTAGACGGGCTGGGGTTGCTCCCTATCCCCACTTCTGGGGGTTTGGGGGGAATTTTCCCCTCAACGGGGATGTTCTTCCCCCTCTCCAAATCCTTTCGGACTTCCTTCTCAGATTTAGGGGGCAGGAGGCTCGGCATGCCCGAGTCCTTTCTACACCCCTTTTTCTTTGGGGAGGAGTCCGGGGGGACGGAGGAAACGGGCTCAAGCCCTATCCCCCCTTCTTCTCATCCTTAAAGGGCCGCTTCTTTTTTTTGGAAGGGCGGCCCTTTCTTCCTCTTTTGGAGGGCGCGAAGGAGGACGCCGATGAGGTGTAACCCCCACCCGGAATCCCCCTCCCCATCTTCCCCTTCTCTCTCATCTTAGTCCCCCCAACCCCGCGCTTCCGCGGGGAGACTAAGGGACAAGATGATCCACCGATATGGTGGCGGTGTGCCACCCCCTCTACTCCTGCAAGCGGGGCAGTTTGCCTTAGCGGCGCAATACCCCGCCTGGTGCTCCGGCTCCCCGCACCGGAAGCAATTCTTGCCTCGGTCGAGGGGTCCGGGGCACTTCCACGCTTTGTGCCCACGGCACAGGCACTTAAAGCATCGAGGAGAGGTGTTACTCCCCCCCCGATGCAGTACGTGCTCCATCGCTGGAGCGGGATGGGGTTCTCCTTTTTGGGAAGCCCACCCCGCTGTCCTCCTTCCCGGTCTTGGAATCAGGGGGAGAGGGAGAGTTACCTCCCACCTCCCTCTTCTCTGTTGTCCCTTTTTCGGTTGTAGCCCTTAAAAGGGCTTCCGATCGGGAAGGGGGGGGCGATGCCCTCTCTTTCTTTTGTGGCCGATGTTGGCCACATGTCGGGCAAGGGCCATCTCTCTTGTTACCTGCAGAATTATCTGCAGGCATTGCTGGACGGAATCGTCCGGCCCACCCTCCGCGGTAACCGTGTTGTCCAGGGCGCCCGCGTGGCACACCCTGGACGGCCCGTCGCAAAATGACGACAGGGAGGGCACCGGGACCGGATACCCCCCTCGCCGGCCTCTGGGTTTCGAGGCCCCTGAGGTGGTAAGTTTAATCCTGTGTTCGTCATCTTTTTCCATCAAATGTAATTGTTAACGGAGTTGTCTTCTCCGGGTTTTTTATCGTGGTTTTCCTTCCACTAGGTCGACTGCTCACTCAGGGCTAACAAGCTCGACCTACCCGGGTCTTTTTATAAAGGTTTTACCACCCTCACAGCCTGTCCTAGCTAAGCTAGTACCGGCCCCCGGCCCCATAAACTGGGGTTACGGTATGTGACGCTATCGCCCCCCCCTTCGTGTAATGGGGGCTCGACCTTTATGCCGGAACATCGGCGTGCTAACGAGGTTGGTCAGGCCCCGGCTTTTTTATCGAGGTAATGCTCCTCTATCCTGGTGGAGTGAATAACACTCCTAACGGATCCAGGCATCCAGGCGATTGAAATCAGGGCCGCCAACCCCTACCGGCTAATTGGGACAAGTCCCTTGAGGGGTAGCCGGACCCCCGTTCCCCCCGTAAGGAGGAACTGTGCGCTCTTAGCACCGCGAAACGACTCCAGCGAACCGCCTCACGGTGAGCCCTCTCACCACGACAAGGTGGCGCACAACGAGAGGAGGAGGGGAACAACTTTTTTTTTGTACGGGGGGCAAGCCCCTTCCCGGGGGTGGGGAATCTTCCAAAGACACCCTCTGGCGTGCAATGGGAACATCCCTGCCAGAGGGTAGTGTTGGATTCGTCCGGAGGAGTGGTCTGCGACACCACTGCTCCCCCGGACGCCTACCAACTAAACTCCACCCCCATTGCTGTGCCGTCAGCTGCCATATGGGGGGAGGCTGGGAATCGCCCAACGGCATACATCCAGCCATCCCCCCTGCCAGGCCGGTTGCCTGGCGAAATCTCTATGTTTGAGGGGAACAAAGTTTTCCCTCTCTCCTCTGACGCTACTCCGCACCGGGCCCAAGGGCCCGGGGATCCCGCCTACGGTCATAGGTGGCAGCAAGGCGCACCCGCATCAATCAGTGCGGGTGCCGTTTGCCACCCCGTACCGCAGGAGATCATCCCCCTACGAGTAGGAGGGTCGTCGGGTCAATCTTGCAACTGACCCGAGGGTCCCTCCTCAACCCGTATGTTACCCTACCTAAGTCGGGCCGGAATTGGGGGGGGGGGGGGACCGAAAAACCCGGTATATGGGCTC